TCAACCCGTAACTCGGTTCCCCCAACCGAGCCGCGCGGTTAATTTCCGACCCACTAGAAACTCGGTTGGGAGAACCCACACTGTGGGTTGTACTCGTCTGGTTACAGTGACCGCACAGAGATAGTTGTGACAACCAAGTCTGAACGGTCCAAAAAGAAAATAGAGATCGATTAGCGTTACCGCCAGGATACCCCCTTCTTTCCGACTGATCACCTCTCCCTCCGACGGGCACCTCTCAGAGGCCGTTTCGCTCTGGCGCCGTCCGGGATTTGAACCCCGGACTTTGCCATTACTGGGCCTCCGCGATACCCCCAAGCCATCGCGGCGCGTGGGAGGGAGGAGGCAGGACAACGAACACATGTCCCAGCGGGCGGGGTCCCGGAGCAACCGGCGGCGGCAGCGCGCCGAGGGGAGGCAGGTACGGGAGGGGAGGGGGGACGACCCTGGGCCAGCCGGGGTCGGCACTGCATCCCAGTTCGTAGTTCACAGAACCGAAAGCTTTGACTGCGCGACTGGGTCCAGAGTACCCACACGAGTCAGTTCCACTATCTGCCACTTGGTCTCACTAACCAGACTGAGTGTTTCTCCCAACTAGACACCCTCAACCGGCAAATGTGCCGGTTACCCCAACTATGCACTTTTTTCAGTGTATAGTACCACTCCGAGTGGAGGGTGCTTTATCAGGCGGCGGCACTCCCAAGGCAGAGAAACCCGAGAGACATACACGCGTGCTGCCGTACTCCCGCCTCATACATCGAACAAATCAACGCAAGACATTTTTTTTGCCTAGACACCGACATCCTTTTCTCGAGACTTCAGCGACGTTCTGGAACGTGTGAAGTGTCAGTACCAGGTGGCTAGCTCAGGCCGCATACATTGCGTAGTAGTGTTGTACCGCATGCACGGGTGCGGGTGGCTTTGTCTATCATCTCTGCCCACGCGTCGCCCACGAACAAGAATAACGGATCTGAAAACCCCACGAGTGAAATAACCGATCTGCATACGCGTCATTTTTCGGTAGACTTTAGACGTTACCCAGCCGTCAACGAATAACGTTTTTCAATTTTATCTAACTACATCTTTTTTATGAAGACCTGTTGTAATGAGATAAAAATGTGGGGGCACCGCGCGTCGCACCATACTGGCTTTTTAGCCAAATATGATGAGAGGCAGGTAGTCCCGACACACCTTATCAACACTATGCAGGACCGATATTAATTGTGGAAAACGAGTTCCGAAACAAGCTGGAAAACCGCCTCAGTGCTCGTAAGAGCAAGCGGCACCGCGGGGGCGGATAGTCGGTTCCGAGAGCAAAAGGAAAGCTTGTCACGCACGCAACACTCGGAACAGGACTACTCCCTTGCGATCGGCAGCGGACAGTGTCACTCGATTTACACCACAGAAATGACGTCGGGAACGACCCGCCGTTCACTGGGCCAGAGGCCAAGGGAGTGATAGAGTATCGACACGTACTATTTTGCTGCCCCAGCCAACCCGGTCCTGTAAGCCCAGGGTTCTCCTGCCTCATCCCTTGTAAATTGTGCTGTTTAGCCCATCACCAGGTTTGGAACAGAGGAGCGATCCGTCGTTAAGAAGTAAGACTCAAGTCGTTCATAGTTTACGACACAATTTAATGAAGTCAAGACACACGGAGCAACGAGACGTTACATTCACTGTTAGGGCCCTGCACTCACCTTAATATCTAAACTAATAAGCCCTATCCATCGCGGTCGTCTAAGAAGTCACACGATTATCATCCCCATCTAATAACTACGGTTTTTCACTCTACTCACGAATTTGTGGAATCAACTTATCGGAGAGGGAGGCAGCACGGTGTCGGGCGGCGGCCGGCCCGACCTAGACCTTGCGGCCAGCGGTCGATGAGAGAGCCCAGTGGGTGGGCCTTCGGTGGACGTTCGATCGGAACACAGTGAAGCTCTGGTAGAGTGGTCCAGCCCGGCGGAGGATGGGAGGGAGCCGCGCGGACCCCAACTCGGGTCCGGCGGCTCCGGTAGCCCCGAGGCTAAGTCCAGAAGTTCTAGTGGCGCGATCGGACCGTCGTCGGGCAGGGGTTCCCCTTACAAGAGAGGGGGTCGGAAGACTGACGCTCCTGCCTGTGCAGGGCCTTTTTAAGGGGATCATCCCCACCGCGGGATCCGGGGGG